TTTCCATCATAGTGCATGACTGCTAAACATTTGGATCTTCCAATCAAAATTCCAGAGTTATGCTCCGAGAAAAGATACTGAAGAGCAGACTGCAAATTTCTCGCATCGCCGACATTCTTGGATTGCTGCAAATATCCTTGACAAATCCATCCGGTGTTGTAATCCAATAAAATTGAATGATTGAACATGTTGAATGTATAATCAATCACATCCAGGTTCTCAATCGTCAAGTATCCATCATTTGGAATCTGCAATGCTCTTCCATTTGCATTTAGCTGAGTTTCTCGGTAAATTTTCATATAAAATTTATCTCCTGCAAGTAAATTGGAGTCCAAGATAATTTTATTCCAAAGACTTGGAGACGCAATAGCTGCTCTAACAATATTTGCAAGTGCCATGGCAAAGCACTGAACACCGGGAAAATTGTACACTCTTGCGTCACCTTGATTAAAGGAAGCATGTATAATTTTCGTATTTTTCTTTCCCTGAACTTCGTATGCACTTTGATTTAAATCTTGGGCAACTTCTGCTGGATGAGCAACTTCTGCTGGCTGAACAACTGACGGTTGTGCAGCTGGAATCACGCGGATGATGTCTTGTGTTTCCAGTCTTGCACCATAGTTGATTATTACATCTTTGTACAAGGGGTTGTTAGCTTTAAGCCATTCGAGTGCAGCAAAAACACGCGCGCGAGATATTTCATAATCACGCGAGATATTCAAATTCTCGAGCGTCTCCGTAACTACCACAATGTCGGCGTCATCACTAGGTCTAGGCAACATGTCTGGTAATTTTTTGCTAACTTGGAAAATATCGAGAGCGAAAAGAATTGCTTGACCCTTAAATCCGTACTGACCAAAGCGACCGTCGAATTTAATCACCTTTAGGAATGCCTTTATGCGAGATAAAAGCTTTCTCTCAGGCTCTTTCAGATCCTTAATTACATCTGGAATAACGCCCGGATCCAAATTATTCCAGAAAGCTTTGGACGGAATCTTATTCTTCTTTAGATGTGCCTTGCATCTATCGCAAATCAATAGAAGACTTTTGTCTTTGAAATCGTCTGGCCAAGATAATTTTGAATCTTTTTGATAATTTCCTACCTGTTTAGGATAACATTGTTTCAAACAAATCTCACAAGATTCGGTGCAATGTGTGTTAATTTCCTTGGAAAATTCTTCTTCTTGTGCTGAACGTTGATTGTAGATGTAATCCCAGTAACACCTAGAACCAGCACGCCGTCGTAACCTCTGACCAGAAGACTCATCCAGCCTATTTAAGAACTTATCCCTGTGATTTTTCTACCCCTGCTTGATTTCCTACGGACACAAAATTCTACCCAACACAAAAAAAAATAACAAACCCCATAGAATATACACAATTACACACCCAAAAAAAAAAAATCTCACACCCCGTTTCACTACAGGAGTCTATTTTTTTGCTAGCTCGCTTATGATCGTGAGAACAGAAATGAATTCTACTACGCAACCCAAAATTCGCTTTAAACATCCTAACACATAAAGAAAATTTTTCTGTACCTCGAAAACTTATTAGAATAAAAACTTATATTTATATATCCATCGAGGCGTTGAATTTTCAATGTTAGACGACCGCCCTCACACGCAGTCCTGGGTGTGACTTTACGAAGGTCGGTCCTCCACGGAAACGGAATCGCATCTATTCCAGGATTTGGGGCTCAGATTTTGAAATGTATTTCGCAACGTACTGCGCAATCGCTTCATTCGATCCACAAGGCTGAATGTCCATGTTTCCATCCCACAACTTGAGACAAGTTTCGTTGTAGTTATTCACTGATTTTTCGTGTGGCTTTCTCTTTAGACTGCAAATTCATCCGCCATTTCTGATGAATTCGTCCGAAGTTTCAGAAACAATTCGACTTTCGAATACGGAGGTTTGGTTCATCTTCTTTAGCTCTTTCGTCGTTGGCAGACAAAAGTAAGGCTTTAATCATGTACGGCCAATTAAAATCGTTGCAACTTAATGTGATAAACCACGTTGGTGGACCAAAGATCCGAATGAATCCAATTAGATCGTTGAGGACTGATTTCTAATATGCTGCTGAGCCTCTCAGATTTTGCAGATTTAGATGTAAGTCCTCAACAGCACCGTGTCGGCCTTGAACTTTTTTGAAGCAGGCATTTATCGTCGATCGAATCTTGTACAATTCAGTCATTGAAAGCGCATAGAACAAATATACAATAAGTTGAAAGCGCGGATCTTTTCCAATAATTCTTGACTGAAAGTAATCCAACGGCATGATTCGAATTTCTCCGGCTCGTTCAATCCATTTCTTCCATTCGGCAGGAGGTAATAAAACGCAAATTTATCTGCTTTTTTTTCTCGTGAATAACATTTACGATGTTGTGTCCGGTTTTGCGTACAATTTATTTAAATTTGACTTTTCCTCAATCTCATCCTCCTCATTTGGCTGAACTGCATCAATAGGACCCATGACCGAAGTATACATGGGTATCATGTATTCAGGTGGCTCATCGAAATTGGTGTCCGGCACAAAGTTAATTTGTGGACCTTCTTCTGCTGGAGCTTCATTGCCAATTTCATCCATACATTCTCCAAGATCATTCACATCAATGTAGTGAATGGAAAAGTCCGGCAGATTGTTGTTTTCATCATTTCGAATAAATCCGCGAATTGCTCTTGTTGCTACATCCTTTAACTCCTGAATGGTATCACACTCAATAATGCAGGCCTTTCCATTTCCTGCTGGAGCACCAGAATTTCCACAAGAATGGGAATCCGCAAAGTAAAACTTTCCATTATAGTGCATGACTGCTAAACATTTGGATCTTCCAATCAAAATTCCCAGCGTTATGCTCCGAGAAGTTACTGAAGAGCAGACTGCAAATTTCTCGCATCACCGACATTCTTGGATTGCTGCAAATATCCTTGACAAATCCATCCGATGTCTGACTAATCCATTCGGTCGGTCCTTGACAAATCCATCATTTGGAATCTGCAATACTCTTCCATTTGCATTCAGCTGAGTTTCTCGGTAAATTTTCATATAAAATTTATCACCTGCAAGTAAATTGGCGTCCAAGATAATTTTATTCCACAGACTTGGAGACACAATAGCCGCTCACAATATTTGCAAGTGCCATGACAAAGCACTGAACACCGGCAAATTGTAAACTCTTACGTCACCTTGATTAAAGGAAGCATGAATAATTTTCGTATTATTCTTTCCCTGAACTTCGTATGCACTCTGATTTAAATTTTAGGCAACTTCTGCAGGATGAGCAACTTCTGCTGGCTGAACAACTGACGGTTGTGCAGCTGGAATCACGTGGATGATGTCTTGTGTTTCCAGTCTTGCACCATAGTTGATTATTACATCTCAGTCTTGCACCATTGTTGATTATTACATCTTTGTACAAAGGGTTGTTAGCTTTAAGCCATTCGAGTGCAGCAAAAACACGCGCGCGAGATATTTCATGATTACGCAAGATATTCAAATTCTCGAGCGTCTCCGTAACTATCACAATGTCGGCGTCATCACTTGGTCTAGGCAACATGTCTGCTATTTTTTTGCTAACTTGGAAAATATCGAGAGCGAAAAGAATTTCTTGGCCCTTAAATCCGTACTGACCGAAGCGACCGTCGAATTTAATCACCTTTAGGAATGCTTTTATGCGAGATAAAAGCTTTCTCTAAGGCTCTTTCAGATCCTTAATTACATCTGGGATAACGCCCAGATCCAAAGTATTCCAGAGAGCTTTGGACGGAATCTTATTCTTCTTTAGATGTGTCTTTCATCTGTCGCAAATCAACAGAAGACTTTTGTCTTTGAACTCGTCTGGCCGCGATAATTTTGAATATTTTGATAATTTCCTACCTGTTTAGGATAACATTGTTTCAAGCAAATCTCACAAGATTCGGTGCAATGTGTGTTAATTTCATTGGAAAATTCTTCTTCTTGTGCTGAACGTTGATTGTAGGCTTCACGACGACGTCTTAACTCTTCTTCATGTTGCTCGGCAGATTGCGCGGCTCGAGCTTGAGACTGTCTTTCTCGTTGCTTCTCAAGGCGCGAATTCCGCTCTTCCGCGGACTCAACGGCCAGACTTCGTTGTTGAATTTCTCGTTGACTTTCCAGGCGCGAATTCCGACCTTCCGCGGACTCAACGGCCAGATTTCGTTGATGTCTTTCTCGTTGTTTCTCAAGGCGTAAATTCCGCTCTTCCGTGGACTCAACGGATAGATTTCGTTGTTGTCTTTCTCGTTTTTTCTCAAGGCGCAAATTCCGCTCATCAGCAGACTCAAAAGCTCGAACTTTTTGTTGACGCTCTTTTTGTTTTGATAATCTCTCAAGACGATGTTCCTCGCTTTCAATACTGGCTAGCTCCTGTCGACGTATTCTTTTAGCTTCTCTTTCTTCCTCGGTCTCAAGCGAACTATCTCTTTGGCGCCTCAAGCGAGCTTTTTCTCGTTGACGTTCTTTTTGTTGACGCGTTTTCGACATTTCTTGAAAGCTAAAAAAAATTTTGAATCACCTTAATTGGATGCGTTCTTACCACCTTCCTTCCAGACTAAATGGCTCACTTAGCACTATTAAATAATCTTAGTCAGTATCTTATTTACTTTTAAATTAGAATTTCCTTCTTTACAAAATATTCCATATATTTCCTTATTATCACTATTATCGGTTGGATTTTGGTGCTTTCTCTAATCACAATCCATTAAATCACACTTATTCTTCTCACTTCTAAGTTTCACTACAAACTTTTCACTAAATTCCGAGATGACTTTTCCGGCTAGAAATTGCTCACGGAACGGCTCAGCTGCCGTGACTCGATTCGAATGAATCGATTCCACGTCTCTCCTTTGTCTTTTCGGCGAATAATTTGGTTCTGCGATTCGTTGATTCGAGTGGCTCTGCGTTGATGGCACCCTAATTATATAGTTTATATTCTACTTTATCTAATGATTTGATTAAGTATGACTCGACGTACGTATCGATGATATTACGCAGCGTCAGAGAAGACGAAGCAACGAAATGCAAAGACGACGCAAGCGATGACGACGAAGGCGCCACCTCCGAGCCTGAGCCTTCCCCCGAGCCTACACTCCCGCCTCCACGTGAGATGACAGAGACCACTGAGTTACTTAGCTGCTTAGCTAGAGAAAGTATCTAATAAGTTACTTAGCTGCTTAGCTAGCGACAGTATCTACCAATTAAGTTACTTAGTTGCTTAACTCATCCACTAATCTACTTAGCTGCTAACACATCCATTAACCTACTTAGCTGCTAACTTCTCTGCAAACTAACTTAGCTGCTGACTCCTCCACTAAGTTATTTAGTTGCTTAGCTAGAGACAGCAGCTACTAAGTTAACTAGCTGCTTAATTCATTCACTAATCTACTTAGTTGCTAACTCATCCACTAAGCTACTTAATTGCTTACCTCCACCACTAAGTTACTTAGTTGCTGACTCCACTAAGCTACTTAGCTGCTTACCTCCTCCACTAAGTTACTTAGTTGCTGACTCTAGTGAGTCAAAGAACAAAAGTGAGTCATAGAACAAAAGCGAGTCAAAGAACAAAAGTGAGTCAAAGAACAAAAGTGAGTCAAAGAACAAAAGTGAGCCAAAGAACAAAAGTGAGTCAAAGAATGAAAGAGAGGGAAAAAACAAAAGTGAGTCAAAGAACAAAAGTAAGTCAAAGAATGAAAGTGAGTCAAAGAATGAAAGTGAGTCAAAGAATGAAAGTGAGTCAAAGAATGAAAGTGAGTCAAAGAATGAAAGCAAGTCAAAGAACGAAAGTGAGTCAAGGAATTAAAGTGAGTCAAAGAATGAAAGTGAGTCAAAGAATGAGAGTGAGTCAAAGAAGGAAAGTGAGTCAAAGAACCAAAGTGAGTCAAAGAACCAAAGTGAGTCAAAGTACAAAAATGAGTCAAAGAACAAAAGTGCAAAAGAGAATGAAATGCATCAGAGAACAAAAGTGAATCAAAGAATGAAAGTTAGTCAAATATGAAATGAGAGTGATTCAAAAACAGAACTGGGTCAGAATACATGGTGTCATGAAGAATCATTCTACTCTTAATTCAAGCCTTGAACTTGACCTAGTAATCGCGTCTCTTTCACGATTATGAGTGGTGGTAAATTGTGCAATTATATGCAAATTATGTTGTGATTACAATAAGTGGTGCAGCCAAACAAAAGAAGAGAATGTGTGAGCGGATATTATTGACCTGACTAACAATTGTTTCAGAAACTAACAACAAATGTGTACAATCAAAGTGGCCACTCAAGCCCTCTTGCAAAATATGAGGCTTTGCAAGAATTAATCCAATGTATTTGCATGAACTTAAGTTGACTTAAAATGCCCCAAAACTGTATTGGTATTTGATTTAGCGCCTGATTCTATTTTGCTCAGATGACAGGACAAAGGCCACCAAATGGATTTGAGCACGAGATGTGATGCCTTTGAAAAACATGTCATTTTGCTACTTTCTTAAGTCATGAACATGATATAACAGCATAATTAAGGATTTAAAGGTTACACACTTTGGAGGTCAAGATGGTTTGTTGGCAGAGATGGAAAGATGGATACAAACAAAGGCTGTGTTACAGAAGAATTGTACAAGTAATGTGATTGAAAATTGCACTTCGTGCAACTACAAAATTGAGCAAATAGCCAAAAATTAATTTTTATTTTCATTCTTGATATAGTTTTGATAATGAGACAGTCTTTGATATAGATGAGGCTCAACTGACATTCCATATTATTTCCCTATGTTTCATGAACAGTGTTTAGTTACAACTTGAACAACCAGTAGAGACCGTTTACTACAGTAGGGATGAACAAACTTGAGTCTTTGCAAGCCTTTTGGTATTGTATCAAAAGTGAAGTGAATAGAAAATTTTTTTAAATTCTGCTTGCCCTGTACTTCAGGTGACCATTTTATTACAAGGAAGGTTTTATAGATGACGGCAATTTAAAGTCAGTCAAAATATGAAGACTGCAATTTCAATTCCCATCAGATACCAGTGTAAGGTTGAGGTAGCTGATGAAGATCCTCCAAAGATGCTGATCATGCATGGTGGCATTCTAAACGACAATGTATCTTTGTAATTGAGGAGCGCAGTGGCTAAAAATAGTAGGAGTGCGCTGACTGCGCTCATTCCCAATAGAGCGGGACGGCTGCATGCTCCAATACAAGTGGGCTGGCAGCAGCACACTCGTCCTGCTACAATAAAATCAGTATGAGCGCATGCTCCAATACGAGTGGGCCAGCAGCAGTGGTAGCGCGCTCATCCCGCTCCTATTGTAGCAGGATGAGAGCGCGGCCGTCCCACTCCTCCCCCCCCTACTCCGCAAGTGGGTAGCACTGGAAGGCTCCGGCCATCCTGGTGGATCAAAATAACCAATCATTTACAAGAATTTGACCATGATCCAATTTAAGCATGGAAACATCTACCTTTAGGGCCACTACTAAAGCTTTCCCGACATTTCCGGATCTGCGAGATTAAGAGCAGATGAATTAGCCTACCTCCTAATTAATTGTTAACAAAAGTGCATGATCACAATTCACACCACAAGATTCCAAATGTATTAAAAATTCATCCTGTTTGAGCCGCAAAATTTCGGAAACAAGTAGGAAAATTCCAATCCTGATCTAATGTAAGGTCAAAGTGGCTGAAGAAGATCTGCGTTAAGATGCCAATATCTTCCACACTCAGGATGATGTATGTTTTCGGTGAATTTTCCCGCGCATTTTCACTTTTTTTAAGCTATTGCTGTGCACAGTTGGCGCAATGTAATGTATTTTTTTACCAGCATAGTACGGCGCACCGCGCAGGTCGTTAAAATGACAAAATAAATTCCCGTGCACCTGGCACATCTTCCTGACCATGGAATATCTTAAGCTAAACGGCCCTACTCTACAGCCTGGCTTGGCTTGTAAATGCCGGATTAATCCATGGAAAACAGCACCATCATAAGTTTAGCACAAGATTTCAAAAAATAATATGTTGAAAATTTGACTCTTCAGAACTAGAATATATTATTAACAAGTAGAAAATTTTCTGGCATTAGCCTCAATTCTTAAAAAATATATATATAAAATAATTTTAAATTTTTACCAGCAATTTTCATAAATTACATGTAAATAATAGGTTTTACCTGTCATTTCATAAAATTTGGCTCAATATTCCAAATTATAATTAATGGTTATTGGTTACTAAATATACTAAACAAATAATTTGGAACATTGTCTAAAAGTTTCCTAAAATTACAGATAAAACAGATTGACTTGCAAGGGATTTTTGAAACTTGCAGGTAAAACTAAACTGTATTTTCTTATTTTTCACTGAATAAATTGAGAAAAGATCATGAAAATTAGTGAAATTTATCTGCTTCATATTCACTAACAGGCAGTCAGGCATTTTTATCTGATTCATCATTTTAGGTGTGTGTAGCTTCTTCCTAATTTTCCACTTTACTTATCCAAAATACTACACTACAATTTGCAAAATCCTACTCTGCAATCTGCATTAGCTAGCCATTAGTATGATTAGTTTAGTTATAAACCAAAGCAATTAAAAGTACTTCAATTAAATAAACTAACCGATAGAACATCATATTTTCAGTACCGGTATGATATTATTCATTTTTATTATATATTAGAACAAAGACAGCAAATTAAAACTTGTAAGTTACAGACTTACAGCAAAATTACACTGCTAGTGCAGTAGTAGTGATAATACTACCTACTAATAGTTACTTACTATTTTCACATTCTTCGTCTAAATTAACCGATAATCCAGGATTTAACAGTAAATTTCTGAACTTTGAATGGCGAGACATTTTTATGACGTTAATTTATTTTACCCGAATAGCCGCTACTACGTTTGAAAACTCGCAATATATGGGATCTGGCTTAGAAAATTAAATGGTACAGCCTCGCAGGCGTCAGGCGACAACGCTCCACTCACGTGCTGACGTGCATTGCGTGGTAGTGGTTTAACTTCGAGTGACGACTGACGAATTGACGATTGCTTCTTCCGTGCAAGCGGAAACTTCTCGTCTTCTTAGGGGTTGAAGTCCACTTGTTTCACATTATTGGCAATACTATTTTAGTTTTTTGACTAATTAACTAATTACAACGTAGACTTATTTATAATAATCATTCTCATTTGATTAAGTTATTTTCTGCACTGCTTTCAATCGCTCGATATGAGCAAACTGTGAGCAGACGCGCTCTCTACAGGTAGATGAGACGTTTCGTTCATATTGACATCTAAGCAATTTTTCTGCCAGTTCTAATCTCCTCACTTTGACTATTGGTTTGCATATAAATTAAAAATCATATACAAAGAAAATAGGGAGTTTGACGGATTGGAATTTTTTACACAGCGTGGGAAAATCCAGAAATCGCTGCTTCATCGTGTGCGTGTTTTAATTCGAAAGAAACATAGGAAGCTCTATCTATCCCCAATATTTCCTCAGCTATTAGAAAGTATGTCTATATCGACATTTTTGTTCAATAAATATTTAACTGGGAATAAATCGCTTTGGACTATCTAATCAAATTTGCTCCTCGTCAGAATCAGGAACAGCTTGGCTCCGCTCAGCATATCTGCAAGAGAGGATTTTCTAAGCATTTACAATGGCTTCAAAGTCGATATTAAAAAGGCCCATAACAAAATGTTGGTGCAATTGTCTAAATTTGAGGCAGCTTTTTATAACATTGTTTGTCATTGAGGGACGCCAGGTGAATGGTGGCAAGGTATAACTATAGGATTTTTCCATGCAGAGAGTCAATTTACTGTTTTGTGCCCGTTGTTGCCAGCATGTAAGCAGTAGTCCACCAAAAGATAAATAGACCCACTTTATGGGTCTTTTTCAAATCAATTAGAAATTTTTTATCCATCCTTAAAAAAACTGAACTAATGGATGGTGGGTCTGGTGAGCATTGGCTAGATGATACTGGGAGTAGGTGAAATCTCAGTGGTTGAACAGGGGATGGAGCATTGGCTGAGTGATGGTGATCAGTAGATGCATTTTGAAGTAGCCGATGACGAACTTCAAGGATGAGTTCTAAATGTCTTCGCTACAGAGAAGCGGAAAAGTTTTCTT